ATACTATCGGCCGATTCCGCGTATCCAGTCAGGCGGGGGTGAGGCTTTAACTTGATATTTTTATATGTTATACCTACTGGATTCAAATTTGGTACGTTCATAACTTTGCGACAAACATTTTTTGGGAAAAAAAAAAATTTGTATACATAAATTATCTTATACTTTATTTTCGGAACTAAAGTCGGTCACTTGAAATTACCAAATGGGTCACTGGGTGACCCACGGGTTATTGGTTGCCGACCCCTGCTCTAAGGTGAAGCAAAAAGAAAAAAATATAGTAAATTCAGAAATGGCGTTAATGACGTCATCGACAACTTTTTCCCCAGAAATATACCCATATTTTTTCACACTTAAGATTGCGATAATCTTTTATTTAAAAAAAATGTCTGCATATTTTGGCTTAAGAGTTATAAGCCTTCCAAGTGGAAAAAATGACCCGTCCAAAAAACCACATAAACGGGATTTAAATTAGACCTTTCTTTTACGAAGGAATCCTTGATAGCGCAAGTTATTTAAAATTTCTGCGTGAAAATATTTCACTGCAGCTGCGTGCCAACATGTGGTTCCAGCAGTACGGAGCTCCCCCGCATAGGGCACAAATTAAACGGGAATACTTAAACATCCATTTTACAAATAGGTGGATGGGAAATGATGGACCAATACAATGGCCACCTAAGTTCCCAGCCCAGACTTTAGATTTTTATTAGCAAAAATGGGAAGATCATTTTTTTAAATAAAAGTTAATTTCAATCCTACGGGCTACCTAGGTGTGAACAAATTTTAGTATGTTTCTGGAAAAAACGTCGTCAATAACAGTTTGGATCACCCTGTACATTATAGTGTTATGTAAGTTTTTCTTACTGTATTTCCACTGTTAATTTAAACCATTCTCCTTGGTTTCAGTCATTTATTTCGAATTCACAATTATTTATTTTTTTAAATCGTTTCGGTTTTAATGTAATGTTTTCCCACCTTACTCAGTTAGTCTGAAACAATTGTCAAAACATGTTGTCCCATTAAAATATAAACTATCCTAACGTTTTAAATTTAAACACATTGTCACATTGTTTGTTCAATAACAATTTTCGAACATTCGAAATCAATGACTGAAATCCAGGAGAATAGTTTAAATTAACATTATAATATTAACAAATTAGTTATTCGTTTTAAGTTTATTTATTCGTACTAATGGTCTTCTTTACTACATTACTTTTGGTTATGGCATCTTGTTTTCTTAGGTAGCTGTATCAAATTGACCAATAACGAATATTTTACTGCATCTTTCACTTTTTTTTTACTCTATTTCACCCCAAGTGCCTGCTGGATGTTAATATCTACAACTTTTCCATATAACAATTTTCTGAAAATTTCAAATTAGATGTTAAAGCAGGGTGGCCAAAGTTCAATCAATATTGGTTATTAACTGAAAAATAGCTGAAAATCACCATAGAACATTTATATCGAATAGGCCTAGAAACTTACGAATAGCTCGAATATGCTCACTTGAATTTGAGACACCCTGTAACATTTGTTATTATCTTAAAATATACCAGACGGTCATATCTACATCTTTTGCATTCAATATTTTTCACTAAATTTTAAATTAGATGTAAAAATGGGGTGGCCAAAGTTCTTTCAATAACTCCGGACAATGCGCAAAATGTAACTTACTTATATTGCAGGTAGTGTGTCTTGTACTACTGTAAGTACTGGTGGTAGGTTAATTGTATTTAAATTGCATCCATTCTTTAAAATTTCACCACACGCAACTGCAACACAGTGTTACCGAGGCCTATTTAGTACACATTTAGTTTGCTATATTGAAATTGACACTAAACAACTGGCAATTTTCTTAAAGAAAATTCGGATTTGATTTTTTATTGCGTGTAATTTAAAATGCAAAATGCGTCTTAAATCGAACAGCTGATTTGAAAGTAAGTGGGCGGATCGAGCTGCCGTAGTCTTGGACACGGATGGCATCGATCAATCGCTATGACGCATGAGCAGCATGTGTTCAAATCGGTCTAGATAGTCCCAAGTGCTGATCGAAAATAAATAAAAATGCATTTGAACCGGAATACCGAAGTGATTGACTCGGGGCTGCTTAATATTTATTCAGCTTGTCACGTTGTTATAAAGCGGGAGTGTGTGTGCATTTCTCACCGATAAAAGTGAAACGGAAATGTTCACCACTCGTCGTCCGATATCGTTGGTGTGGGGCCAATTTGCTTGAAAGGCCAGTCTATCATGTTTATGGTTTTAATTAATTTAATGCAATCGTAAATCCCATTAGGATTGAACGCAAACTGAACCATTTGGCAAATGATTATGTGACATCACCATGACATTTTTCATATTAAACTATCTATTTGTTTTATCTAATCTTTAAGTTGCCTAATTTGATTATTGAAATTCTCTGTGATTGAAAAAAAACACATACTTCTTAACCGGGTTTATCGTAAAACATGTCCAAGCAGGAGTGCTCGCATCCAGATCCAGACCTATTTATCGCTCCGCCGTACTGTAAAAAAAATGGAAATCCTGATGACGACTCGCCCAAGGATTTCCAACTGCCTGATGAAGTTTCCATATCAAAAGTCGAGGTTTCAAACCCTGGCAAAATATTGCAGCTACTCGAAAGTCTCACTGATGCCTCCACCAGAAAACTGGAGGCAAAACTCAACAGATACGTAAGTTTGCAAATACCATTTGGAATTGTCATTGATTTGATTAATTTTAGCTAAAAACGGAATGTGAAGCGAAATTTTCATTCATGATCAATCTACACAGCATCGCAGAAGAAGCGGCCGTTCACGTAATTCAAGAGCGCATTCTGGCCGATAAACTAACGGCTCAACTAACAGACGAAGCATTTAGCGCAATTTTAGACTACCAAACGAACAGTCTAACGGCTGGCGCCACCTTAGACCCCAAAATACAGTTGCTGATTAGGGAAGTTGTACCTGAAGGAACTGGGGACGTAGTGATAGTGCCAGTTTTGGCTAGAGATCGCAAAGGTACGAATAAACACTCAGTCCAGAACGCTGCAAGTCACCTTAGGGCTTTTCTAGAAACAGAAGCGGCCTACCCAGTGATTCTAGTATGCATAGTCAACCCTACGAAAGACAGTGGCTACATATCGAAAATCGTAAGTGAGACATTTAGATATTGCCTTACGATTATTCTCAACACACGGGAATGCGAGGACCAAAGGCGCCTTAAGGCTGAATGTCAGAAGTTGTTGCTGGTGGCACGAAAATTGTTTTCTCATCTTGGTAAGTTTGTGAGGCCACTCATACAATAGCGGATTTTTTTATCATTTTAATAAAAACTGCGCTTTACTTAACATATTCTCACTAGAAAGCTAAATAAATGTATTTGCTGTTGTAATTTCAGGAGATTTAAGTGATCTGCTAAAGGAAATCATGTCTGAAGCGCGTCGCTTAACGAATGCGGAACGATGTTCGCTGTTTTTATTGGATCCGGATCACATGCATCTGGTGGCCAAAGTATTCGACGGCGTCAGCCCAGAAGAACGAAGCACTGAAGTGCGAATTGCCGCTGATCAAGGAATTGCCGGTAAATCACACCTATATTCTAACATGAAACGTATACTATTTGAATATCTACGTTGTATGTTGGTCTAAGCATGAATTTCCCAAATCTCACTTGTTGGTGTTGGCACTAAATAGCAACATTACCATTCGTCAAGTACTTAGTATGAGAAACGTTCATCATTCCACTCGGCTGCGGCAGTCATTTTAACGAAACGATACTTTAAATTCGCGAGCTGTCTGTCTAGGCTATTTACACCTATGATATAACAATCATCTAAACGACTAAAACCTGCATAAATGAAAACGAACATCGGAAAATATTACATGTGAATCAACGAAATTCCCTATAGCCGAATACTGGGATTTATTTAAGTGGGCGCAACTAATCCAGCTCGAGTACGCCAGTTGAGTCAACGAATAATCCCCAAATTCTCTAAATACACGTGTAAAAATTATGGAAATGTTTGCGATTTTCCTTAGGACATGTGGCTGCAACTGGAGAAATCCTCAACATAAAAGATGCGTACAAGCATCCCCTATTCTATAAAGGCATGGACGAAGCGACCGGGTTCAAAACACGAAACATCTTGTGCTTTCCCATAAGGGATGAAGACAGTATTGTGGGGGTTGCACAGTTGTGCAACAAAGAAGGCGGCCACTTTGACTACTTCGACGAGCAAGTGGCGAATGCCTTCAGCATCTACTGCGGCATTTCCATAATGCACAGCTTGGTCTACAAGAAGATTCAAGACGCCCAGGCCAGGAGCCGACTGTCTAACGAGCTGATGATGTACCACATGCAGGTGAGGGTTTTTTAACGCAGAAACGACTTCAAGTTGTTTAAATAAAATATTAACTTGCAGGTGAGCAGGCAGGATGTACTGGATGTGACGATGTGCCCCAGTGAGCACAAAATGCCCGGATTTTCCAACTTCAGTTTCACACCGCGCAAAATATTGGCAAAAGAATCGCCATGCTTCGTATTGAAAATGATGAAAGATCTGGGCTTTATCGATAGCTTCAACATAAAAGCCGACACCCTAGCACGATTCATTTTGTACGTGCGGAAGGGCTACCGAGATGTTCCGTATCACAATTGGTCGCACGCCTTTTCAGTAGCGCATTTCGCTTATTTGGCTTTGAAAAATTTCCAGCTAGTAGAAAAAGGATATTTTACGTAAGTGGAAGATAGAAGAAAGGCTTCAGGTCAGAAAACATTAAATACCTTCAGGCAACTAGAAGCGTTGGCCTACTTTGTATCCTGCCTATGCCACGATATCGATCATCGTGGAACGACAAACTCGTTCCAACAGCAATCCAACAGCGTTTTAGCCAGTTTGTACTCGAGCGAAGGATCGGTAATGGAAAGACATCACCTGTCACAAACCATCTGTACGCTTAATACCGAGGTAACATTTTTTATGCTAATGGATACTTAGCTGATATACGTGATACGTCAAGTTGAGTAACGATCCTTTGGACATAAAATGGGGATTTTATTTACCGCAAATAAGCTACAGACATGTATGTTTGACTTTATGTACCACGAGAGTCAACTAATATTCTTCAACTTTATTATTGTTGATTCAAGTAATTGCGTTCTCTAATGGACATGTTCAGTTGTTTGCCATCCGGATATTGAGCAGGAAATGTACATATTTGTAGATTGCTTACAAAAGCTCTTTCCTGATAATAAAATTAAATTTTAGGAATTTATTGCTCCATATTAAACAGGTATCAAACTTGGTTTTCCTATTTTCACGAAATTCAGGGTTGCAACTTTTTGGATTCCCTATCGAAAGACGACTACGTAAAGTGCTTAGATCTAATCAAGGACATGATTCTGGCAACGGATTTGGCCTCACACTACAAGATCCATTCCAGACAACTCGCGATGGCACAAGTAATGCTTCATTAAATCGTGAAGATTTCGCATAGCAAAAAGTTGACCTGTTTCAGGAAGGGTATGACAAAATTAAGCCTGAAAACAGGTTTTATTTGGCCAGTCTTCTAATGACCTGCGCTGACTTGTCCGATCAAACCAAGGACTGGACGGAGACGAAAAAAGTGGCGCAGCTAATTTATGCGGAGTTTTTCGCGCAAGGAGATCTGGAGAAGAAGATGGGGAAAGAGCCGGCGAATATGATGGACAGGGAAAAAGCCTCCATACCCGATCATCAGCTGGAGTTTTTAACGCAGTGCTGTATTTGCATATTTAGGTGAGCCCGTTCTGTTCGACTATTCGGAAAGTTATTTTTAATGAGTGTTTATGTTACAGAATTCTCGCTGCAGTGTTTCCAAACGCCAAAGTCTTAGTAGACGCTATAAAACAAAACATTCTCTGTTGGGAGTCTTCGAAGCGCATTTTCAACAAGCTGTGTGTAGAAGGGGTAACTTCATACGAAGTCCTGGTAAGCGAAGAATTGGAGTCTGAAGTTCAAAACACATTGGACAATCTCAATGATTGACGAGACACAAAAATATATCAAAAGCAACCGCCAAAAGACATATATGTGCAATAAGCTTCGTAAGCAAATCAAAAGTATTGTAGGAATTAAAATGTTACCTTTTTACGATATATATTTTATTTATATTAGTTACTGTGAATAAAATATGTACAAGTACTTACCGTGGAACAATGGAAATGGCATTATGAACAGAGCCCGAACGCAAGTGTTATTGGACTGATTCTTTAATAGTTCCTTCTAAAAACCGCGACATAATCGGGTAGACTGGATCGTAGCTGGTGGAATTGGTAAGTGCTATCAAACTTTCGTATTTCTGCAAAGCTCCGGCCACCAGGTCTAACCGATCTGACTCGCTTGGATGTTCGTCCAACCATGCCGATAGTTTAGGCAACGACCAGCCTAAACCAAAAAGCGTTTTAATATGAATGATAAATTAAGAGAGAGGAATGTTTGCGCATACAATTGCGGCAAAAGGTGGTGCAATTTGTATTTAAAGAAAAACCTTATTCGTCATTAATCATCTTCTAGACAAGACAGCTGTTTACCTGTGTTTTGATGCGGGCTGGCTAAATCTTGGCCCGCAAACGAGAACAGCATCAGCAGAATCGTACTATGAGGCACCGAGCTTCCCGATGCTTGCCCTGCTACTATTTCCTCAGGAGTCTGCGCTATTAATGAAGCCATAGACTTCAGCTGCCTATAAGGACGCCCCAGGGCTGCTAAATGAGGGCAAATCACCTTTAAAGCATCTTCCAAATGCTGGTAGTCGGACTGTAGACGTTGACGCCCTCCTTGCGAAATTGGTCTTAGAATTGACGAGTGTCGCACTAGGAGTTCTATGCATCTCAGTGCAATCGCGTTGCACCTAGAAGACGAAATTGATTTTGTTGCCGAACATGCTTAATGCAAGCATCGTACTTATTAGTCAACACTTCTTTGTTGTGAAACCCGTTCAGGTAAGTGTTGTACACCCTGCTAATAAACTGCGCCAGCTCCTTCATATACGGGCTACTCGATAAATTCTTGTTGATTGACGCGTTCAACTTGGCCCAATCGGGCTCCAGGTGAATCGTGACAATAATAGTCTCTGCCACCTCGTTAATTGACTCTAAAACAAATGAACCATCTGGCAAAAGCCTATAAACCATTAGAAGATTTACCTATGAGTGGTTGGATGATGAGCGCAGTTAAATCGTTCAATTGTTGCACCGTCTCAGTTATTGTTCGAATTCCCGACTGAGTCAAACTTTCCTTCATATTAGTTAACATTCTGTGCATTTGGGTTTGTAAGTAGAATAATGCATTGGCGTATTGGATGTTTTTCTGTTGGACTGCATTAGGCGCTCCACCTAAGTACCAGACAACCAAGTGCTTTCGTAACTTCACTGACGAAACTAAAATTATAATTTACCTATAACTTGAGCAGCTTCAGACCCGACTCCAATATGCCTTTCGGTATTCACTGCAAAGGTTTTAATACATTTTCCTACGTTTTTGGCCACTTCCTCGCTTAGATGCTCTTCTACTAAAGCCATGCTCAACTCGCTAGAAGTTACATGGATGTATGTACCTTCACCTATATTTTGCACTTCATAGTTAAGTACCTGGTAATAACTCTGATTAGGGCATCGATTTCTTCATGGCCAGGCACGTTATTTTCGTTGTCAAACATTGACTGGACTGGGCCGAGGATTTTGTTTAACGAGCTTGATAAGTAGGAGTTTTCCAGTTTTTTTACCACTGATCGACTGAAAGCGTAGATAAATTGGACTTTTCGTTCACAAGATACATTTCTATTCGCACTTACTCGAACTTAAACTGGTCATAATTCAATTTCTTCATCATTTCATAGTAGTTCTTCAACAGCTTTGGGTAGTCTTGTTCCAATGTTTGTACCACAGCCGCTGAAGACTGTTTGATTTCTTCCTGAATGGCCTTACCAAGTTTGCTCCAAAACTGCTTAGCAAGATGTTTGTCAATGTTTTCTGTGTGAATCTCATTTAACGTCTTCTGAAGAAACTGCATCTGTAAATAGACACTGGTCCTTCACAGTGGAATACTGATGCATTTTCAGCATACTTACTTGTTTACAGATTTTATAAATGTCTTCAGAAAAGCTTTTTTCCAACTCAGTCCAAATCCTCGTTTTGAATCCCTGTGAAGTTGAAAGTTGCATCCTACTGGATGTACCTTTTGGCTTGCCCACTGCAGTGCTTCCGCCAGTTTCCAGGGCGGCTTTTAAAATTTCCCGACATTCAGCAACATTTTGCACCATAAAGTTGTCTATGGTTGCCTTGATTAAGCCCAGGTTGATGAATATCTAAAATTTCCAATCTAGCTTAAAAGGTTAGATTGATGTATACCATCTACCTGCAGGGCTGTTGAGGTTTGGATAGCATTTTCATTAACAATTCCTTGATTTAAAGAGCCGGTGGCCAGCTTCACAACTTTCTGCTGTTGAATTCGAACGTTTCTCAGCTCGGTGGTGATGGCATCGATATCTTCCAGTTCTGGATCGGCGGCCAGTTGCTCTAACTCTTGCAGCAACGAGGCTTTTTGAATAGGGTCGTTAGTATTTGAGAGCCTTTTGCTCAACTGCTGAACCCTGCTCACTTGCCTTAGTATATGACTGGCCCTGTGCAAACGTCCCAATACTTTGGTCTGTGTCTCCAACTGTTCATAAGGCACCGTGATCTAAACAACAAGCACTTGTGTGCTACTTCTGCACTGGAAGTTAAGACTGTCTGTACCTGTGTTCTCAGCCGCTCGGCGTTGGCAAATAAGTTCTGTATGTGATTGTTCATGGTGCTCAACACGTTCTCCAGCTTAGTGGCATGGCTGGCCTGCCTTAGAAGGTCGTCGTGATTTTCGAGCACCTGAACTTGGAGCTCCCGGTTTAGGATTTCGATGCCTTCTCCCAACTTTCTCAGTTGTTCAGTGAAAGCTAACGACTGTGATAAAATCGCTTTGGAGTTGTGTGTCAGAAACTGGCCGTAGAATTCTGGAAATTTGAGGATTTATTGTATGTTTAGATGTCAGTAAATCTAGTTTCCGATTACCGTCATTCTCGATATTTTGAATTACATCAGTTGAAATATCCATGGTTCGTTGCTAATTCGAAAAGATGACGTTTACGACTGATTTGTGAGGTTATCGATTGTTATGACGTGTTCACCGATTTTTAATTCAAAGCGACAATGCCAAGTGTCTTGCCGTCAAGCAACTGAAAATAAAGTTTCATTGTTTTTGATTTGCAAAATACAGATTTATTTACATGTGTTATAATATTTTTCTTACTTATAACGTTACTTAAAATTTCTTACTTTAAAATTTCGGCCAATTTTAACCATTATTGACAGAGTCCTCCATGATCTGCGGTCAGCACTTGTCAGAAAAATAGGTTAGAATAAGAAGATCTGTGGTTAGAAGCGGAGTTATTTTTTACAATTTTGTAAAGTTTCTCCCCGCAAATAATTTAAAATTACGCAAAAATGTCGAAATTCAGGCATGTGAGTCATGTGATTTTTGATATGGACGGGCTCATTTTGGGTAAGCATTAAGCGAAAAGGTCCTCTGAATTCAAATGCTTCAAACAAAGCCCAAATTTAACTATGTACCAAGAATTTTTATTCCTAGTTAAATCGCTTCATACAAATCATTACATCGGATATGCCAATGCTCACACTAAATAGTCCTAAAGTACATTCGAAAGCTGCTATATTACATAAAAAATGTTTGCCCCTTTGTGAGTTACATAAATGGATGTTTACAAAGTTGCTCACCAATCCTGATAACTGCTGATAACAGTAAAACGTAAATCCTTCATTATATAAATGTGTTTCAAATTATATTTGTCATACATAATAAGTATTTCATTTAAACGAAATTAGGAGCTAGAAAGACAGCAAATTCCTAATTTTTTGTACATTGCCGTCGCATTATAGACACTGAGCCGTTGTACACTAAAGCAATCCAAAACGTAGTATCAAAATACGGTAAAAACTTTACATGGGACGTAAAATTGAACATGATGGGCCTTCATCGAATTGAGGGCTCCAAGTATATCGTAGATAAACTAGATTTACCGATAACATGGGAAGAATACGATGCCGATGTGCAGGAACAGTACAAAGTTGTCGTGACCAACCCAGAACTGTTACCTGGTAAGTAATCGTTTGCTTTATTTTCTAGACACTGAAGGGGTTTATAAGAATGCAATCGCTACCATTGCCCGACGTTTCGGCAAAACATATACAAGCGACATTGTAGCCAAAATAACTGGCACAGTGGAAAAAGAATCAGCGCGGATCGCCGTCACGGAAATGAAACTCCCCATGCCTGCTGAAGAATTTCAACATGAGTTTCGTAGCCTTTCACATGGTTTTTTTCAGAAACATGCCATTCAACTCATGCCAGGTATTCTGCGTGTGTGAATTTTCCACTGTATTCCGTCCGTTGCCGATAAGAAGCCTTTATTCGTAAACCTCATTCATTGTTTTTCTAGGCCACATCGCTAGAAATCATTTGGCTCATTCACCAAAAAAGCGATGTCATTTGTACCGGTTCAGACCATAGATTAACTAAGTTGGTTCAGACCGCGAAAGTGAGCGCCTAAATTTGCTATTTACCTTGATTTCAATTGAACTTGAACTTCATCTGCATTTGCTTGTATGCTTTTTGAAGAAATTTACTGAGAATATTTCAGTATTCTTACTTATTGCACATTTTAGGAGCAAGAAATCTGATTCAACACTTAGCCAAACAGAATGTACCCATAGCGGTTGCAACATCGTCCTCTTTAGATAGTTTCGAGTTAAAAACTGCAAAACATAAGGAACTTTTCAAGCTCTTCGATCACATCGTGTGTGGGGGCACTGACCCTGCGGTGAAAAACGGAAAACCGGCACCTGACATATTCTTAGTTGCTGCAACAAGGTACCTATTTTGTTTATAATACGTTGCTGCGCTTTTCGGAACCACCCTTACTATTTAATGTCAAGGGCGGGCGAAAATAAAATTTGTATTAAAACCTATTAAGGTCTCTCCAGCTTCGCATTTTCACAAATTTCTATATATTCTATAATTAATTAAACCTAGTACAGTGTGTAACAATGATTTAGGTTCACCCACTTCTTTCGCCTTAACTCTAAAACTACCGAACTAAACTAGCTCATCTTTTTAGGAAATACGGTACGTACGGTACGTAAACTTGTAGCGAAATGTCATTTAGACAGATTTTCTTTCAAACACACAATCATTGTTTTTTCAAATGTACGAATTGTCAGACCGTAACTATGATTTAGGTTCACTTGTAAAAATCGTAAGTTTATTATGTTTTGTCCTGAATGTTTTCGTTTTATCGTGTTATTAGCACGTTTTTAGAGCATGGGAAAGGCAAAAGCATTAAATCACGAAGAGAAAGGTAGAGCCCGAGCTTATAAACAGTTGGGAATGACCCATAGTGAAATTGCTCAGCAGATTGGTCGTTCTCTTAACGTTGTGAATAATTTGTTCCCATTAGGCGACGAATACGGAAAGAAGAAGACTCCGGGGAGAATCCCAATTCTCTCGGCACGCGAAAAAAGGAGGATTAGAGCTGCAGCAGCAAATTCAACCAAGGGAACCCGGCGGCTGCAGAAAGAATTTGCGCCAAATGTGTTGCATGAAACAGTCTGGAAAGCCTTAAAAGAGTCCCCCAATCTTCATTATAAGAAAATGAAGTCGACTCAATCGCTAACAAAAAATCATCAGCTTTTAAGAACACAATTTGCCTACCAGCATCAAACGTGGATAGCGCAATGGCACTCGGTATATTCTTAGGTTACAGTTAGTCGCTAGAATTAGTTGTCTTTTTACAGACTACATTTAGGAATGTTTTCCAGGTTTTGAAGCCGTGGTCTATCGGAATTTCTTCCTGATGTTTCGTCCACAACTGCGGTGGACATTTTCAAAGGCGAT